TTAAGTTGATCAGATGATGAAAACCTGCTTCTTTATGAATATTTTAGCTACTCTGAACATGTTTAGATCTGGTTGAAGTAAATAAGTAGCAAGTTAGATCCAGCAACTAACCAATTCCTTAGTTTTAACTAAGTTGATTATATTGGATTGTCTAATAGAACTGCAAATGGATCTGAACTCTTTGGTCTCTGTTAAACAGTGTCAATTGTTTTGTTTTTTTTATATGCACCATTATTCTCTTGATAAGTCAGTATTTTTATCGAGAGAATTTTTTTCTTTAGATTTCATGGATTCTTGCTCTGGCTCGAGCCCTTAAATTACCCTTTATTTTTTTGGGATCTTTTTTGAAGTTGTGGTAATTGGATTCGAAGGAAATCATCATGTTCAAGTATTCACCACGTAGAAACCAGAGAAATAAAGGATTCAAGGTAAAGCATGCTCTTCAGATATGTGTACTTGTAGGTGTTTGTATCTGGCTACTTTACCAAGTCCAGCACTCACGTACCAAGAAAGCATCTTATGAACAAAACACAAGTGTCTCAGAGAAGGTACAAAGTGAGAATGATGTTATCAGGTTAGGTCGAAAGGACCTCCAACCTCAAAAGAAGGAAGAAGAAATTGACGATGAGAAGCTGAAGGAGGTGACAGAGGAAGAAGAGGGTAAAAGTTTCAACGACGATACCAAAGTGGACGAGCATGATCTTGATCTAGAAAAATCAGCACAGGATAGTGAGCAGAAAGGGGATTCAGTGGATGAGGATGCAGGAACGGAGAAAATCCACGAGAATGAAGCAAGAGGAGAAGACAATGCTGAAGCAGAAAGCAAAGAGAATACGGAAGATGGCAAAGGTGAGAGTAATGAGGAAGCCACTGACATGAACACCAACAACAGTGAAACTAGAGAAGAAGAAAGTGAGAAAGATCAGGGAAAGCTAAGTGGCGTTGAGGGTGAAGAAAATAAGGACCAGGAAATAGAAAAGGAAGAGAAGGATGTTAAAGAAAACAATGACAAGGAAAGTGAAAGTGAAGATGGTAAAGAGAAGGTAGCTGAGGGAAACGTTGATGCAGAAACTGATGTGAAGGAAGAGAAGGTAGAAAGTGAAGAGAGTGGAAGTGAAGATATCTCTAAGAATAAAAGCGAAGAAGCAGTTGAAAATGAAAGCGAAAAGAAGTCAGCAGAGTTGGAGGAAAGTAATGAGGAAAAAGTAAAAGAGAATGATGAGAGCAAAGAAGAGAAGAATGAGGGAGATAGCAGAGAGAACGATGAAGTCAACAAAGAGAAGGAAGAGAACCAAAACAAAAATGAAGAATCTGGCTCATCAGGAGAAGATAAGGTTCATGATGAAAACGATAGGACAAGTGAGGCTGCAACCGTAGAAAACGGCAAGGACGAGAGTTCATTGGTCAAAGAGACTTCAGATTCTGAAAACATGACAGGGACAGAAGGAGATGGTAATGTAGCCGTGAACAATGAGGAGCAATCTAAGAAGGGAGAAGATGAGTTGCAGGACGATAAAAACAAGAACGAGGGAAGTGATGAAAGTCTGAACAAGTCGGAGGCAGATGCTGGAGAAAATAAGATGGTTGAACAAAGTAGTTCTTCAGATGCAAATGCTGCTGGAGAAGCGAGTAACGGAAGCAACAGTGAGGACAATTCTAATCCTGCGGCAGGAAACAATGAAGCGACTAGCCAGCAGACAGAAACTGGCAATGCTGCCTCTGAGACCAATCAAAATGAAAACAACAGTAGTGATAACTCCGATGCTGCAGCTGGAACCAACGAAGCCAATGAACATCAGCAAGGAAATGAAAACTCTGCCTCTCATACCCAAAATGAGAACAACACTAGTGATAACTCAAATCCTGCAGCAGGAAATGAGAACAACTCTAGTGATGACTCCAATCCTGCAGCAGAAACCAATGAAGCCAATAAGCAGCAGCAGGAAAATGACAGTTCTGCCTCTGGTACCAAACAAAATGAGAAGAACTCTGGTGAAGACTCCAATTCTGCAGAAGGAACCAATGAAGCCAACAAACAGCAGCAGGAGAATGAGAAGAACGCAGCCAACGCGGCTGCTTCTGTTGGAGATGGCACACAGAACATTTCAAATGACCAGCAGTCTGAGAAAAGTGATTCAAACTCCTCAGCAAATGAAGAATCAGTCACAAGCTCAAACAGCTCTGAATCTGTTGTATCAGTTGACCAAAATGGCAACTCTGTTACAGCTGGGACAACTGAGAAATCAACAGGAAGTGGGAACGACCAAAATGAGGCAAACCAGAAATCAGACGCTAATTCTGATTCAGGTTCTGAGAATAAAATCAATCCCTCAAATGACAATGACGAGACAGACACAGATCAAAACAAATCGAATGATTCTTCCAGCTCAAATGGCAATCCTGATGATAGCCAGCAAAGCCAAGTTGAGTCGACAAATTCTGCAATTCCTCAAGAGGAGACAGAGGCTCGTACGGATCTGGGTACGTTGCCACAGACAGGAACCGAGGGGAACAGCCATGAAGAAGCTGCAGCAGAGTAACATAGATACCTCTTATTATTTCTTTGTTCAAGGTTTTATTCCACATTCTTTTCTTTTGTTGCCTGTTTTAAAATTCTAAGGCAAATGTGAAAGTAAGATAACTTGGGTTGCTTGCTGGTCGATGCTGAAGAACCCACTATGTAACAAATATAAAGTTCGATGTTGCGCCAGAACTTTGTGAATTGGTTATCTCTATCCCATAAACGTGTATCTCTTGCAATGTTCCATGATTAATGGTAAGAGTTTCTCCATCTAGAGCATACTGCCAAAAGCATCTGATTATCAATTTTGATCATTGAATTATCCTTCTTTTGAAGTAGCATCTTACTTTCTTAGGTTGATCCTTAAAGGAGAGGGGTGTATATTGTATCTCAGAAAAAAATATTTGGTTGACATTTTCATGAAAACGCTTCCTAGAAATACTAACAAGCACACACAAAGGAATTTTAGTTTTACTTAAAAAGAATTTCCAACACTTGTGCAAACGCAGTTTAATAATCAGGTGATCCTATTATTAGCTATTTATCTTTTTGCATGGAAAGAGGAAGGAAAGAAAAAAACTAAAGCAACTGTTGATGTTCTTCAGCGAGCTTTCATCATCTTAAAAATAAAATCTCTTACACGGAAAAAAAGACGCGCCCTTTTACCGTAAAGACTGATGCTCTTTCATCTTTTTTTCTCCTTCTTTACTCTGTAGCAGTATCCTGCAATCAATTGATTGAGTCTTTTTCGGAAAGAACTTCATCTTTGTTTCTCTTGTTCATTCATGTCAACTTTGATAAAAGAAGTCTAAGATTTTTTTCTCTACTTATCTTTTGCGTTCTGTGATTTTCCCCCAATTTGAAGAACACTAAATGCATAAAGAAAATAAATTCCAATTCAATGAAGGCTCTTCAATATTGGCAAACATATGAATAAAGAAAGTTATATCACCTATAAATGTGCTAATTGCTTTCAGATTGCAGATAGTATCACAAAGTTCCTGCTATGGTTAGGCATGGCTAATCAGAAATTCAAATGGCTAATCAACTTTCTAGTCGACTTAAAAGAATATAATTCACACTTAAAGAATCCAGTCTCATGCACAAGTCACCATTTGATTCTTTTTTCTTCGTGATTTTTGTCGGTTGTTTTGTTACTGATAACATGGTTTATCGCATTTTCTAGAAAATTTGATTTTTATTAGCTTTTTAATGAAATCGACTATGTTATATATCAGTAATCGCCCATTTACATTTGGTGACCGCCTATGTCATAATTTTATAATCGCCTATTTTTAATGTTATAGTGAAACGGCGATCACAAAGATTGCTTATTTATCGATTTTATGTTTTGGTTGATGATGGTCATTGAGCCGAGGTCTATAAGAAACAGCTTTTCTACCTTCTCATGGTAGGGCTAAGGTTTGCATACACACTACTCTCTCCCAAACCTCATTTGTTGGATTACACCGGGTATATTGTTGTTGTCATTATGTTTTGGTTGAGTTGCTCGTAATACGCCTGATAGGGTGAATATCAAGCTTTGAAACTGCTCGCTTTGATATTTTCAGAGACTACTGTCTTTCATGTAAAAAATATGCTTGCATCATTTTCATTATTTTCTAATTTGGACATGCTAGGTTCTCTAATTTTTTTTAGATTGCTTAGCTTCTACACAAGTAAATGTACCTACTTGTGGCATAGGTCCTGAAACACTATCAGAGAAGATGTGCTACCAAAAATGAGTGCACCTCCAGTTTATGTGACTTTGCTATAGTCAAATCCCAAATTCCTAATCCCCTGGTCGTAGACTTGATTGCTTAACTAGATGTTAGTGGCATGAGATTGCCGTGGACGTGCTTAAAAGATACAACACTATTCATAAGCAGTTTTTGAATTGGTGTCACAGTTTGTATATCAATAAGCTCGAACAAGCCTGTGTATAAGCTATGTGAGGCTTCACTTTAAAATGCCATCCAACATTCTCTGTACTTTGGGACAATAGTCATGTGTCTTTTGATGAATAACAACTCAATAGTGAAGTTCTACCAGTTGTTGCACTGTTTTTCCCTTTTATTGAGGCAATTTTATATTTTTCAGGTATTTTTCTTCCCGATGTTAACGCCTTGCGGAGAAAGGGAAAAAAAATACTAAATGGATGACGAGGTCATTGGTCAACTGAAATTTAAATTTGATTATCGCCTACTCGGTTACTAATATTTGGTAATTTTTTTTGGTAAATAAAAGATTTTTATTACCAGTGAACTATCTATACAGAGAAAGAAAATCAATTTGATTGTTGGACATGAAGCCTCAACATCAGAAGAATTTCAGAAACTAAACCATACTACCAGCCCCACCTATTTATCTGCACCCCTATCCAACTACTTTTACCTTAGTTCTAAGGATAAAAATTAAGTAACTCAAGCTTCCTAGCCAATCTTGCCTGCTTTACAATTATGTTCAAGATCAGACTGCTTGTTTTGAAAAATTCTGAGGTTCCTTTCTCTCCAGATGTAATACAAGCTTGCTGCTAGAGCCATTATATACACCTTTGCCTCAGCTTTCCTCCCTTTTGCATAGATCTCAGGCCACTTCAACTCATCATGCCAATCTAGTGCCACTGTCACGGGCCCAAATCCTTACATTGGGTAGCGGCACCTGCTCGCCCGTCAGGTGCCTGCAGTTTCCCTCGCTGCAGGCCAACCTTCTTCCTTTCCCAGGATTCCCAAGCACGATCCTGTGCCTGTTGGTGGGACTCGCCCGTAGGCGCACCCCAACTTGTGACGCCCGTAAGATGCCTAGGCCCTTGGCCCTAGACATGTCGTGGCGCTTCATCTTAGGATCACGATCCATGCGCGCCCTGGGGGGATTGGACTAGGACATGCCTTGTCCTTAGCCCAGGACTAAGCATCGCTCCCGCATGCACAGCCCAATCCTCAAGCTTGACACTCGCCTAGTGCATTCGCGACTAGCTCGTGCCTCGCCCGAGTAAGGCAACCTTTAGCCCTTGGCCATTGTCATGCGCGTCTTTCATGCCATGCCCATACATAGCCCTCCTGCAGCACGCTTCCATTCCGAAGTAGTGCAGTGTCGCCCACACCCGCACCTTTAGGCCAACGGACCCTTGCTTGCATGGTTGAACCAAAGCCATGCTCACAAGTCGACACATGAGGCCCCTATGACAGGTGCGTCAAGTATCCAATCGGCACGGAGGTCTCCTTCCGACATTAGGCAGCCCACGGGGCTGGCCGTCCCACACTTCGAGCCTCTAGCGCCACTTTGATGCCCAACGCAGGCTCGAAGGTGTTACGCCATCCATACGAGTTCCCAAACTCGTGTGGATACCTTTGACACTCCTTTGAGTCATCTAGGCAGGACCTTGAGGTTGCCCCCAAGGTAGCTCGTTCTATACGGCTCGGTGGCAGTACGCATGGGGGAGGCAGGTCAGAGCTTTCATCACCTATACTCCCCTTATATATGCTTAAAATTAAAAAGCCCAAGTTGCCCAAGTAGACTGCTCTACGTCAGACCATCAGAAGGACCTTTTCTCACCAGTTCTTGGCCGAAATCACAACTCCTAAATGCGAGTTGTGACATCATCACACCATGACCCTCAAGAATATACGTGCTGCCTCTTTAGCTTTGCAACCGGCAGTGGTGGTTGAAAATGTTGCATACTTGGTGAATCTATCGACAACCACCATAATGGTGCTGAATCCCTCTGAATTTGGCAAACACGTGATGAAGTCCATGGTTATGCTGTCCCATGGCTTCACCGCAACTGGCAGCGGCTCAAGTAAACCCCCANTTGCTCCCGTAGCCTTAAGATGCCCTCTTTGGCATAGCTCCCGTAGCCTTTCGCTCCCGTAGCATTAAGACGCCCTCTTGGCATAGCTCCCGTAGCTTTCTTTGCCTTCACTACCTTGAAGATGTGTTCGCTTCCAGACCCACGACTTCGCCCATATGCCTCTTGCATAGGCGGGATCCTCCCACACTCAATGTGGAGGATACATCTTAGCTCTGTCGTCCCACTTGGCATTCGGCCAGCACTTGGGACGACCTTTGCTGAGTACTACATTCCCAAAGTCATAGCATTGCCGCATTTCCGAACAAAGCTCTTTGTTTTCCAGTTGTCATTTCCTCAGCAAGTAGCCAATGCTCCCGGTAGTAGTTCAATACTCGCCCTATAGACAGGCACCCTCTTGGCCCTGCTAGCACGGCTTCTCGGTTCGGTGTGCCTCGCACTTGGACACTCACGGTCCCCGATCATTCGACATACCTCTTTCCAGAATGATGACACCTTCTAACTTGGAAACTCGCCCCATTTCGAAGCTTCGCTATACCCTCGAATTCGTTTCCTCACCTTGGCAATGCCCTCAGGCAACCCAAAGGTCTTCTCCCGAAGGAAAGACACTCAACTTGATGTGTTGCACGCATCCTTGGCAAGATCTCCGCTATGATCATGCCCAAGTTTATAGTCCAAGGCTCCCACTCTTTCGTAATATGGTTGCACGACCTGGAAAACATGGCTTTCTCTTGGCCAACTGGCTCATCGGCATATTACCTCATTCAGTAGCACCTTAGACTCATGAAAGACAATGGAATCACACATTTCTTTCGTCGACCATCAGTATCGGTTTCTCGATCTTTGGTGGCATATGAACATCAATCTCTGCTTTGACGTGATCTCAGCACTGACATCCAAAATGCACTCGCCATATCCACCCTTTGCCTTGATGTTGTGCCATGGCATAGTATGGCCTTAATCAGCTCTGATACCAAGTGTCACGGGCCCAAATCCTTACATTAGGTAGTGGCACCTGCTAGCCCGTCCGGCTCCCGCGTGCACAGCCCAATCCTCAAGCTTGACACTCGCCTAGTGTATCCGCGACTAGCTCGTGCCTCGCCCGAGTAAGGCAACCTTTAGCCCTTGGCCATTGTCATGCGCGTCTTTTGTGTCATGCCTATACATAGCCCTCCTGCAGCATGCTTCTATTCCGAAGTAGTGCAGTGTCGCCCACACCTGCACCTTTAGGCCAACGGACCCTTGCTTGCATGGTTGAACCAAAGCCATGCTCACAAGTCGACACATGAGGCCCCTATGACAGGTGCGTCAAGTATCCAATCGGCACGGAGGTCTCCTTCCGACATTAGGCAGCCCACGGGGCTGGCCGTCCCACACTTCGAGCCTCTAGCGCCACTTTGATGCCCAACGCAGGCTCGAAGGTGTTACGCCATCCATACGAGTTCCCAAACTCGTGTGGATACCTTTG